GGACGGATTCGGATAAAATTTTGTGCACAGATAGACATAGGGATATACCGTTTGACACGCAAGCACTTCATCCGAATGAAGCAAGGCTAAGTCGATGGTATAACAAATACAAAAGACACTCAGGAACTCACCCGAGTGAGAGAAAATCGCTAGATAATAAAATAAATCATAGATGTAAACTAAAAGAACAAATTATCTGTACAATAATGTAAAAGACACATATTCTGACCTAAAATGTTCATAAATATTAATAAACATTTACGTACGACCCAGCTTGTATATTATTTAATGTCTATTTATAAGCACACATCGGCGCGGTAATATTTCAGAAGCCTTACAGGTGGCTCTAGGATTATTATGACAAGTATATCGAGGTTAAAATGTGTAAGTTATACATTATTTTACATCATTAACGGCCATAAAGAATATATATATAATATGTGTATATAATATATATGTATTATTAGTAGATATTTAGTACAATTGATAGTCTGTTTAAAGTCCGTAAAACATACAAGTCCCTCACACATACCTACCTAGAATGAGAAAAATCTGCCATACACGCGGCGTTATAGCGATTGATTTTATGACCACTGCTTTATTAGGAACAGAACTACTGCGAGTGTATTTAACGATTTTATTTTCTAATACACTAGAAAGACTTTGTGCATTAACACTTAACTAACATTTAGCAGAATTTATAGAAAATTGAGATTCAAAATTTTTCATTTAGAATATCTATGTAGTTATAATAAATATTTGTAGCGTTTTCTTTTAGAAAAATTAAATCAAATAAAAAAAATGCATAGAACAAAGAACCAGCTTGAGACACTAATTAATTCTTTACTTAGATTTCATGGATATCTATACATATAAAATTGCAACTAAGCCGAATCTGTACATTAAATATTTTTTGGAAAATCTTATTGAAATATACATTATTATCGATACAGAGGCCCAATCTATAGTTTTTAGAATTTTTGTCTGGCTGTCTGACTGTTACCGCATCACGGGAAAACCACTGGAGGGATTTTGATGAAATTTGGTATGATGGTAGCTGGTTATACATATAGGATACTTTTTACTGCGGGAAAATATCTCATCTCTGAGAAATCTATACTAAACGTTAAAACGTACTAGTTTAATATAAAGTAATTACCAGCAGTATTTCCCAAGCTATACAGCTATACAGCTAAAAATATGTCAAAGCTTAAGTTTACAGCGACCTAATGTATTTGTAAAGCAGATTAAATAGACACTACTAATGAACTGAGTTTCACTCTTTCAACGAGATTTAAATTTTGTTTTCCTTGATTCTTTTCTTGCTTTATTTCTATTTACCCACGTTTCGCACTCTAGTAATCGGACAAATTAATTATCCTCAATTTTCACAACAGGTTTGCATTTTCTACTACGCTCGGTCCGACGTAGTGTAGTGCACGCATGGAATAATTAGGTATGTTTAGGTTTATTGTATAATGTATGCGTCTGACGTATTTATGTATTATACGTCTTCATAGTAGCGCTTATGAATATCAAACGATAGTATCAAATCATAACAAAACGCATAATTATAATAGACAAAGTATAGTTTAATAATTAGTTAAAAGATATTATCAACTAAATATTATAGCCTTGCTATATAATTTTAATACTCATACAAAATTTAATTTACGTTATAATGTTAATGTCTTATTTATATAACGCATAAATAACTTTAAGTGATAAAAACTCAGTCTATTCTAGTCAATTCTAGTTTAAACAAAAGTTAATTTGATATAAAAATGTTACAAAATTTGTAAGAGCAGCAGTATGGCGGGAATTCATTAAGTAATTACGTCGCCAAATCTGATGACCGGCACAAAGGATTCACTCGTTAACATCTCGATTGCCGTTGACGAACAAAGGGGCTCTATCAGTATAAACTGTATGTACCGTAAACGTAAAGCTTTACTGCACTGGGCATAGAGATTAAAATAACTATGGGTTTAAGCTTCATAGGTAAAAAACGCACTAGTCTGTTTCCAGAGGATCTAATTCGTGCAACGGCCCCCAGGCGTCGTGCCACACACACACACCGCCATGTTATTTCAACCTATTCGCAGTGCCGCTATCTATCGTAAAAATAAAACCAATAGAATATTAAATCGAGCCCGTTTTGCCGACTTGGAAAAAGGAAAAACGGTACGTTAGCGCGTATTCATTTGTCTGCACCGTCTCTCCTTGAAAGCTATAACAAGCGTAAAAGTTTAAAGTTTAAAAGGGACGTTAGAATTTACTTGAATATATCAAACATTGTAAAAATTAACGAACGTATTGGCTGTAGTACGAAAATTTACATATTACGCACATTTAAAATGCATTTATTTACACAAGTTCAGATTAAGGCAAAATCAAGAGATAGTAAATCGAACAAAAACAAGAATCAAAAGCGCTGAATGATCACGCGAGTGGGCAGTGGCAACATTCAGTGCGGCCCACATTCTACGAGATGAGGAGATACACAAATAACCCGACAATGGACGGCCTGTCGGGATATATGGCGATTCAATCTCATTTGCTTATTTAAAGATATAAAAGAGGTTTTATTGCTTCGTAAAAATCCTAAAGCAAAACCACCCACAGGCCGATACTCGAGCAGTGATACAACCGAAAATGGTTGACAAATACGGTGCTAGTTAACACTAGGAGTTTAGTCAGTAAAAATTCCATTAGGGCCTTTACTGTATAAAACCGTAAGTTTAGGTGTAAGCAAAATTCACCTCTATCACGAGCGGAAACGAGCTGCGTTCGCGTGCGAAAGCGTAATAGATGGCAGATAAGGGCGGCGCACACTGCGGACTCGGCGAGTGGACCCACTCGTATTCATTATTATTCAGTTAGCGCAGCAAATATTTTTGCGGGCACGTTTGTTTTATGAGTTTATCGCGACTCGACGTCAGAGCGCGCCGGCCGTTTTGCTTTGTTTTATTTTATTTATCCACGTCGTCGACAGGTGGCGTTGCGATCGCGCCCGCGATACGTGTAAACTGCCTTTAATAATTCATTCTAACTTTTATTTCCTCGCGCGCTCGACCGTGGCAATATATACTTAAATGTGTTAATATTTTCGACAATGCCATATTTTTGCTCACATCGAAACGATTAACGCGAAATGCCGAATGACCATCGAAAGTTTCATTCGCGTGTAGTTTTTCGTTATAAAAAAGGTTAAAAGTAGCACTTTACTTCTTTTAGCGGTTCGAAAAGTTCGTCCGCTTTGTATTGCAGCAAACGAGACTAAACTTTGTAGTGTTCCTACTTTGTCTTCTCTAAAGCTTTTTTGTAGTCACAATGTTACTTGCATTTAGATTAAAAATAGAAATCACTTTGTACCCATCCCGTTATTAATTGTTTCATTCAAATAATCTAGAACAAATTAATAATCAAAAGTTGGACAATGAAAATTAATTAAATAACGAAGTTGACGTCGAATTCGCAGCATGAAAAAACGCGAAAAAATCTCATTTCTTTCGACGGGAGCGCTCATTCAAAGTTGACTCTTAGGTTTTTACTCGGTCGAGGTAGCCAATTAGGCGGGCAAATAGGCGTTTTGAGTTTTTATAGCGATGCCTTTGCCCGCCGACATTTCAGACATTCACAACGATTGCCCACGTCGACTTTATATATGTACATGCGGGATATATACGTATATTGTTAAACGAGTCCCACACTAAAAAGTGCAAATATTAAGTCTTACTCGATAATAATTTACAAAATAAACCGAATTAACGTTAAAGTATAACATAAAATTATGTACTACTTCATATTCATTTAAATATAATAACTTGTTAACAAAAACAGTAAAAGCTTAAACTCATTTTAAAAAACAAAAGCCCGCTAATGTAAACTGAGCTCTATTCGCAAAGCTATTTCGCCGTAATTCAACACTTAACGTCTAGATTTGTTAAATTTTTCAACAGAATTATTTTGAAATGTCAACCGCTATATTTATAATTCCTCCATAAACTTATAAATTTTATGCATACATATGTGTACATAATTAATTACAAGTAAATTATAAGCAAGTATTATTCATAAGGCATATAATTAAAAAAAACCCACAGTAGCAATATTTTTATTACCATACAGTTAAGATAACAAAATTACTTCATTTGGAAATAACGCAGTTCTAGTAAAAAATTATTGGCCTATAAAATTTACAGTCAAGCAACTTTATACGTCCTTGTTTTCTCTCAATGAATATGTTAATAAACATTATTTAAAATTAAACGACAGGTTATATTTTTCTATACAAAATTTAACGCTTATTGAGAAACAAACTACGAACTTAAGTGACGAAATATTATCGTAAGCTTAACAGATATTCTACGAACTCTTAAAAGTGCCGTTATTACAGCAGAAAGTTTGAGGCGAATCATTTATTTTACACCTGTGTTAGACTATTTACATTAAATCTAAAAAATCCCTTTACTTATAAGACGTTTAAAAGAGTATTATTTAGAAATATTGATCATCATATTACACAATAATAATGTAATTTATTATAAGAAATGTGGTATTACTCATTTTTCTCCATCTGACTAAATGTTTGTATGTCAAAGGTTATATGAAACGAGGTCAACAAAATATCGTTAGTATCTTAACATGTGTATTATTACAATAGAATACAAGTTGTTATTACTTAATAATTTTACTGGATATTTTATAAACATACGAAAATTTAGTTTTATAATAAAGCTTCATCATGTTGCGTCATGTTTTGTGGAAACTATTAGAACGTACAAAAGCTCTATCCAACGGATGCTGTGATCGGAGATAACAACCTTTTCTTTGATGCTTAAACATTAACAATAGGGACGTTACGAGTTATTATTTTTTGTGTCATATAACACCACAGTTATTTTTATTTAATGCTTTACCTTATGAGAGATATTCATGTATTCACTAATTAAAGTGTACGGTTTAAAAATAATTAACTTAAGGGTAAAAAAACTTACCGGGTTTTGTGAGGGGTGTTTTGAGATCGTTGTTTGTTTGAGATAGCTGAGGATTCTCTTGCACCTGCGAATTTTAATTGGATTCTTACAACATTTCATTTTATTCTAATTATATCTTCACGCAAAATTTTCTTTGAGGGGAATATTTCGCGCCTGGTTTTTGTTCTGTAGTTAATATGAACCATATATAAATTTTATGTATGGTTAATATTAAACATTGCCTCCAGCGGCAATCGAAGCCGAGATAATTTTTGGGGTTCCGTATCCGAAGGGTGGCAACGTCCGTCCGTCTGTCAGAGGGCTGTATCTCATGAACCGTAATAGGTAGAGAGTTGAAATTTTCACAGTGCAAATAATAAAAATAAAAAAATAAAAATAGAACAAACATTATTTTAACGTTCGTAATCGATCATCGAATTTGATTACTGCACATACATTGAGTAAATGTCATATTAATAAAAAGTACATGTACCATGGTATGGAACACTTTGTGAGGAAATTCGACTCACACTTGACCGATTTTTTATTTATTCTTCGTGATCTAAATATGCTAAATGTTCTTTAAAAAATCCAAACAAAGAAAGCCTTAGAATATATATATGAAGGCAATTTCATAACATTTTGAAATGGCTCACATATTTCCTGTATCTAAAGTATCATAATACGAAAAATTCTAATACATATTGATCTTACCTTATTGGTGAACGGGTTAAATATGAATTTGTTTTCGAGCTCCTTCCGAGGCGTCGCTGCGATACCCGACACCGGAGTTGGGAGTGATTTCATCTCCTATTATATATAAAATATTCATTATTCATATATTCTTCTTTTCTTTTAATATATTTACTCTCGTATACGTATATTATAATAAGTAGGTAATATTTACAAAGCGGTTACAAATATCTTCTATCCCTAGGTCTATATAAAGATTATGATTGGTGGAACGAAATATTAGTTTAACGATATCGTTCGGGTAAAAAATATTGGATATAACTTTAACTTCAAATTTACTTTTTATTAAATATTAAAACTAAATGTAATCGTAAGTTACTTACTGACTTTAAGAACTAACGTATTCGATTCTCAGACTAAACAAATGAAATATTCATACTAACAGAGGCTATTTGACTTAGTGGGTGACTCAAAATCAATCGATCAATTTATTGTTGTAAGTTTTCTAGATCTTCTGCCGTCTATTAAATGAAAAAAAAATTAAAATGAATAAAAAATGACTTACATTTCAGTATTATAATATACATTCAATCCGCAATTGCAAATAAAAACTAGATGTTTCTTTAGATTTAATACAATTAATATTTACTGATAAATTGTGATACGACAAAGTGATACCCACAAAGTGTGTACACAATAAACATTGACAGTTACATATTATCATAAGCGATAACGATCAAAAATGCAATCGATAGTGGGGGGAATCGATAAAACTCTATATAAAATACGTCTGTAATTAAAATAGTGTTTGAATTAGATTAGATTTAAATACTATTAGTTATATGCACACTAGCGATAGTGCCCTTGCTTCGCTCATCCATACTAATATTATAAAGAGGCAGTTTGTTTGTTTGAACGCGCTAATCTCAGGAACTACTAATCCGATTTGAAAAATTCTTTTTGCATTAGATAGCCCGTTTATTGAGGAAGGCTATAGGCTATATATATCATCATGCTACTACCCAAGAGACCGGAGTAGTAATCATAAATGTCAATAAATCGGGCAGACTTCCATACATTATTGTATAACTATACATATATATATATTATCTTATTAGCGAGCGAAGAGGTGAGTCACTAGTGACGTTATATACCTACTAGCTATCTATTGTAAATAGATTGAGACAAAACACTTTCAGTTCGTTCGGTACTTTTTTATCCTCTGTTTGTAACTGCTTTTACTTCTTTTTGTTTAAAAGCTATTGACAAGCTTTAGTGTTATCAATAAAAAAAATTTAAAACAGTTTTTTTGTATAGATAGGTAAATTTTATTCATATATGTTACCCTCAATTTTCAATAATGATTTGCATGGCCGAATTTCGACCATTAGCAACCACTAATTCATTTAAAAACAAGCGACTAATGAATAACATATAGGTAATAAGACACATCATATATCCCAATAGATCTACTCTACATAAAGATCTAGAAGAAAAGTAGGAATGTCTTTATGTAAGTCGCATGTGTGATAATTTTCATCACGATCAGTTGGGGCTTTAGGTATCAAAAAACAAATAAACAATCTCAATTTTAAATATAAAGGTCTTCGTTACAAATGACAAGTGAAAAAGACACAGTTCGAAGCGCGACAAGCAAGGTGAAACTTATCTCCCCATTTAATTTACGTGACAACACAGGGCGGGGTCAAACGACATGACTATTAAAATAACTAATATCTATTATTACACTATAAAGTTTTTATTTTAACTGAACTTTTAATTTATACTTCACATCCGTTTTAGGATATCAGTATTGGGGGGCTTCAACGTTTCTTTACATGATAGGAATCTAAATAGCTAATACAAAACAGAATACGTATTTGGTTAAATCCTATGATATTTCTAACTTAATTTATTAGCGATTACTTCATTTGTTAGCATAGTCATCATATTTTTACATCTTTTAATTTAAAATATCTGTATTTATTATTATTAATTAAAATAAATGAATTATAGAGGCAATAATAATGTGTTAAATAATAATTATTTTTTAATTTGATTTTGATTTGATAAATACGATGCCATTGATCGCAATTTTTTTTTTTGATTATTTATATGTATGTGACACAACTGTCAGATTGACAGGGTGTGAGAGTACGAGTAACGGTGTGTTGTTCATTATTGTAAAATTAAATTATTTAAATACATTAAATGTGATAATTGGGTATTTAATTTAAAGTGCTATGCCAATACATAATTTTATGGAGCTATATTGCACATATGAATAAGAATTAAAGTCGCATGCAGTAGCTACTATACATATAATATAAGAGTTTCAAATCGCTTTCGCTGCTATTACATTTAAAATAAACATATCTTCAAGATACTTTCTCGGGGCAACCAGAGGAGAGAGTAGAACGCCACGTTTTGTGTTCTCTACATCCCCCTTTTAATTCTTCCACGATAACAAATCTTATTACACAATAATTATCATTAAAAAAATTTAAAAAATATAGGAAGGCATAAATACGTTAAAGTAGTTACTTAATTCATTTATTTTGAAAGGATTACAAAACGTTTCGAAATAAAAGCCTTACTTTCGTAAGACACCTTACATGGAAATAAAAAGAAATCTCACCTTTAATATACTTTCTATTGGCGGTTGGCTGCTGTCGATGTTATTCTGTAAAACAAATATGAGCTTTAATTATGAGACAATTCACAATACCCTACATAAAGATAAATTTCTAAGAACAAATTATTATACAATGCTATTGATTTGCCTTCAATTCTCATAAGCGCACATCCCTAAGTAACGTTTTACAACAGATTAATATTAGAGATGTACCCACGAGTGATATTTATATTCGGCCAAAAGCACCGACTAGTCGGGCCATTACTTTATTCATATTACTATTATTCTTAAATGAAATATAGTGATTGAAATGAAATTCCACCATTGTTATTAATTATTATTTATATTTTAGTATCAGTCTAACAATTGGCAATATAATCTAGAAACACGAACGAAGGAAGGAATAGGAGATAGTACTTATACTCGTATTAACAAAAAAAATATTGAATGTAAGTTTCTACAACTCTGAACAAAGAACGTAATTATGTTATCTCCTGTTTTTTTATTTAATTTGGAATAAGAAATTTTACCTAGAGACAGGAACCGACTAGTCAACCAATTAGTCGGCCTTTTTCCAACCGACCAGTCAGCTAGTCGCAAAACTGATAGTCGGCCCATCTCCTACTAATATCCTCATTGATGTACTGGGATTTTATACTGTGTAACTCTCACGTCTATGAGTTATGACCTGTCTCTATACAAAATTACATGTCATTGTTGCCCAAACATATCAATAGACCTATAAATCCAATTTGGCGTTTATATAAAACTAGCGGCTCACCCTCGCTTCGCTCGGGTTTACCTGTAGAAAAACAAAAACAAACCTATCTCACGGGAAACGTACATTTTTATGGGATAAAGAGCCTATCTGTTATTTCAGACTATATTCTCTGTGCCAAATTTCATCCAGATTCGTTCAGCCGTTCTGGCGTGAAAGAGTAACAAACATCCATACATACTCACAAACTTTCACGTTTATAATATTAATAATACGGACTAGTTATTGCCTGCAATTTCGCCCGCCTGATAGATAAGTTAAATTAAATTCTACATATTTGTCGATAGTATAGCTTATAATATTCTATTTATATATTTTATTGCTAATTTTACTTAAAACAGTGAGGCGTTACGGCGTGAAGAAGTATCAAACACACCTACAAACTTTCACATTTACAATAGTGATCTCATAAGGATACTATAAAACAATAAATTCAAAGTGTAAATTTAAATAAATTATAATATGTTCGCCTTAAATATTCGCTCTACGGTGATAAGCAAAAACATTTTTTACACTAGAATATATCTACATGGACATGGATTGGTTATATAAAGACCATCATATACTTGAGAATAAGCCGTGCTATTAGCAATAAGTCAATTAGACAGATAAAACTATAAAATATTCTCCCATACTGTTTGATTAGTTATCCATTAACATTATTTATGCAATAGAAAATTCCTTTATTCTATTAAATACGCAATATCTGCATCTCGTTAATTAACAGACCAGCTTGTTTATATAACAACGATATAATTAGTTCGTATTTAAAATCTTCATATTTCCGGCAGTGGTAGTCCAGGGGTAATAAGGTTGGGAAATCAAGTGACGCGGGTTCAAATCCGGATCTTGCATTTCTGATATTATCATGTGTGAATCATTTTCAACTTGACTTTGAAATTCCTTGAAATTGAAATACTTGTGTTATGGTGGAGAAAAACATCGTGAGAAAACCAGCATGTCTTAGAGAATTTAGCAACTTTTCAAAAGACATGTGAAGTCCGCAAACTCGCACTTAGCCAAAGTAGTGGACTATGGCCTGATCCCCTCTCGTATTGAAGGAAGGTACGTGCCCAGCAGTGAGACGTTAAAACAACTAAATACAATCTCATTTTACAATAAATGCACACAAAATTGTAAACATAAAACGTTATCGACCGTAAAATACGAGAAAATTCGCAGAAGTCAAAGTGAATAAAACTATTTTTATGGAAACGCGTGATTACTACTTAGCAAGTCCAACTATTAAGTTTGTGACCAGTTTATCGGGAAAGTGCGTGGGATTTACGACTTTACACTCTTTATATTATATTTGTTATTTGGTCGTGCTGGGATTCATCAATCTTCATTTTTATTGTACTTCATTCAGCACGTTAAATTCTTACAATTCGTTGACACAAATTTGTAAACTATAATGTCGACAACTTCAGTTTTGCATTTAACACGATACGATTACGATAGAATCTACTATTACGATACGATATAATCTTAACAAATTGTAAAGGATCTTAAATAATGTTAGTTTTTGAACATTATTTCCGGTTATTTTTGAGTTTTCATCTCCTTCTCAGGTGTTAACATGGTCACGAGAGACTAGAGAGATAAATTACGACATTGAAATGTCAAGACATTAATTTCTTTACTGTTTACACTTTTACGAAATTTTAGTGTCCGAGTAGTGTATGTATGTAAATGTACGGAAATTGTGTCCGAGCTATTTACACTCCGTGCTCAACGTGAAACCCATTTTTAAATACTATCTTCTACGTGGTGCGGTGTATTGAAAATATCGCGCCTATTCGAAAACTTTTCAACCACACGAGACACTTGGACACAACGTGTTCACACAGCCGCTGATACGACATTAATTATCATGTCGCAATAAATTTCACAATTAGAGACACTCGGGTTCACACAGAAACACTCGGTGTATACACTTAAGTTTCAACACGCTGCCAACCCGCACTTGGCCAGCGTGGTGGACTATGCCTGATCCCCTAGTATTGAAGGGAGGCCCGAACCCAGCAGTGGGACTTTAAAAAAAGAGCTGAATACATACACTTAGTGTACCGTATATAGTTTCTAATCGAAACGATCAAATAACTTTTAAACAGTAAATTATATGTAATAAAAAAGATATAAAACATTAAAAATACAACGAAATCGCTCACTAAAATCAATCACGTCGTTTTTTACATTCTGCCTGTTTTCTTTCATCCACAACCACAAAAATAAACTTATAATCTATCAAAAAGATATCCACAAAAGAAAATTTGTAGCAAAGATCTTGTTTTAATCACGAAAGTTGATTAAAATTTCTGAAATATCGATTACAATATTAGCATCGACATCACGTTAAATAACAAATTAATTAATCCGGCCGCCACTAGTCGTGGGCGACATTTGAAGTTTATCAAGTGCCCAATATCTTAGCTAATTATACACAAGCACAAGTAATCAATTACGCAGAAACAATACTGAGGGAAGGTGCTTGACAACAATGCGGTAAATGACGTCACATCGTGGTACTTCAGTGAACTTGATAATGATAGGTAATATCATATATACAGACAACTTTAGCACTTGAACGTATTTTCTTCAAAGTTGACGTAATTATTGGACTCTCGCTCGTCTTAGTGTTTACTGACAGTACAACATATAAACAAACTGCCACGTTTTAACATAAACACTTAGAAAATTCAGAAACTCGTAAATCCACTTTATTGTTTAAAATACTAAATATTCATTAAAACTCAATGTGTCAACAAATCTATCAATTTAACCACGAACTCAGTCATATATAACTACCACTTATACGTGAAAAGTAAGCACGTAACAACGCCAAGCCATTTAGCAAAACAGAACTTTCATAACATCTAATTATATTTAAGACAAAATACACCAACAATAAGGAACTTAGTAACTTAATCACTACCTAAAATTACTTTCCAAGGCATTGAAACCCGCTGTGACCTAGAAAGTGGAGAACTCGCTACACTTGTACCATGTTTTACAAACAATATTGGGTTAGAGCAAACTCGGCACGTAACGCGCCATGTTCATGTCCAAAACAAATTATTACTTCTAAGAAAACCATTGATTACAAAATATACATACTAATTTAACTAAATAAACAAATTTAAAAAGAAAGAGAAATGTAAGAACCATTCAATTAGGTAGCAACCAGTACTTGATATACATTTTACCAAAAAAAAAACACTGACTTCAAAAATAATTAAAAGTTAATTATATTAAATTCCACCCTTGAGTGAGTGCGGATTTGTTCTTAATTTATATGAGAACACCTTATAAGGTACAACTTATTCGATAATAAGAGGATTGTAAAAATTCAATGATTCACAATTAGCGACGATATCGCATAACATACCCAAAAAAAAAATGTCTTTCAAATACTTATTAGGTTCTCTCAGACATGTAAGTTACCTCACGATGTTTTCCTTCACCGTAAGTCAAGTGGTTATTATTTTGAAAATGATTAGCACATGAAAATATCAGAGGTTTTGAACCCGGGATTTGAACGGGCTTCACTTGGTTGTCCCAAACAAGAGCGTTACCACTGGACCATCACTGCCTTTTTAGATTATTATACATCTAAAAAACTGTGATACAGACAAAGCAAGTTAATGAAAAATTTCTTAAAATTACGACAGTGACATTAAATAATATTTTGGAAGAATTTAATAGAATCACGTCGTCACGTCTCGTCCTTTCTTTTGGCTCATTAGACAGCAGTATTAAATCAAAGCTTATTGTCTTTTCAAGCATTTGCAAGATTTATTATACAGCGTAAGTGCACTCACTTGTGATTGAATTCCATTAGGTAACCGTAAGGGAGGTGGTCGATGCGCAGCCGGACCCGTCGAGTTGAGTCCTTCGCTCTGTTGACAAACTCACTGAATGTTAATAATCGAAACATTATATTTTTATTTCTTAGGGGTTTTTTAATAAAATATAAGCGCTCTAATAAATTATTACAGACAATCACTTATTAGTTAAACGTAGATACGAGAGAAATTATCAACGGGATTTAAAAATTAGAAGAACGTTAAAATAGACTTCCAAAATTTAATTGTATCGTAATACGTGAATACACATACACGTAACAAAATTAAGTAAATTATTAACAGTATCCTAAAATAAAAGCAAACTAAAAATAACACATAAAGAATCATTAATGTTTTAATTAATACATGAAAGAGGTATCAAAAAGCGTTAAAACCCGAGCACGTGTTTACAATAGAGCAAAGTATCGAGAAGGCAGCCCGAGGCGCTAGCTTTAGAAACTTCCAAGTAAAACTACGAAACTTCGAGCCAGTGGCTCAGTTAAGCATAACTTAACCGCTACTATAATTTTATGAAATATGCTAAAATATTCTGTACCGATTTAAAAAAAATATGTACACTTACTTTAAAAGTTTTCAAACTTTCAATATTAGCGATATAAGTAATACGTATAATCTTATAAGATTTATGAGAAGGTCGAGTTCAGTTGATTCAAAAGAGATTTCCTTTATAATGGAAGCGAATAAATTTTTATAAAGGCGAGAATAATTTGATCAGAGTAGATCAGATTGAAGCTTTGCATAACAATAGCTGATTCCTTAATAGGTCACAGTTCAAATTATTTGTTCGGAGGCAATCATTTAAAATGTTTAAGATATATTATTATATTACTATTTCATATTACTTTCTATAAGTATCATCAATTAAAATATTAATTGTATAGTTCTATTTAATATTATTTATATATAAAAATTATCGCTACTTCCGACTGTTGACTTGAAATATTAATCTAACGCGACTGAATTTTGCAAAACTTACCTTTATTTTATACAAAATCTCAATGAAAATTTGATATTATACAACAATAAAATCGAACACAATAAAAATTCTATCATAATAACACAACTTGCGATAAAGCGAAGAGAATTTTTAAATGTGAAGTTAAATAATAGATGGTCCTAGTCAGCAAAGTTTCCAGAGATGTAATTTGGTACTTTTATCTCGACAATCGAGAATAGACGAGTGCTCGTGACGGGGGACTGTAGGCTTTGTAGATATTTAAAATGAAGAAAATTATTACTTAAATTGTAATTTCTTTTTACACGTATTCAAAGTTATACTTGCCATCGTCAGCGTTGTCGATATTATTATCGACAAAAGTCATATATATCAATTATTTTGCCCGACAAAAAAAAAAATTGGGAGCATAAACATAACTACTATGGAGCTTCTGTCAAATTTCTATTTCCAGTATGTCAAACAATCGAAAGATAGTTTATTTTTCAGATTTTCAAATAACAAATCTTAAGTGCTATTAAATCTATACATATACTCGTAATAACATTCTGAGTCGAATCTGTACATTAAATATTATTGAAAATCTTATTGAAATATTCATTATTATCGATACAGAGGCCGAATCTATAGTTTTTAGAATTTTTGTCTGTCAGTCTGGGAACGCATCACAAGAAAACTACTGCACAGATTTAATGAAATTTGGTATGATGATAGCTGGTTATCCAGGTCAAATATAGGATACTTTTTACTGCAGGAAAATATCTTATCTCTGAGAAATCTATACTAAACGTTAAAACGTAACTAGGGACGAACCCGAGCGGAGTGAGGTTGAGTCGCTAGTAAATAATAAATAATATTATATACATTATACATATACATATGTACATACAAACCTTCATATATATCGATAGTAGGTACATAGATATATCATTTACCTATTTGTTTATTCACTTATCAATGATTATATGACTATGTAAACATGATAAATTGTTATTTTAACCCTTATTATAGATACATAGTACATACATGTTCGTGACCAATCAGAAAATAATGCCTACAACTTTCCTTTTTCCAAGCTAATTGAAAAGCCCAAACTTGACAGTGACAGATAGATGATAAAGAAATTATAAAAATCTTACCCTAAAAAAGTAAGTATGATTTAATTTTGTGTTTAGTATATAAAATGAATAAATAAGCGATCGTTTATATTTTACCTTGTTATAATAGGGCGGGCGGTGATGTACTCTGCCATTTTGTAGAGCATTTGTAGGCTTTTTGAACTCATTCTCTCGGCGCGACGGGTGACCTGCGAGAAACAAATGTGGTGTAAATATAAAAATACATTGATTCGAAAAGGATAAAGTTATAGAAATTATAGTAATAAATATTTTTATTATATTTATTACTAATACAACTTAATCTTAACCTACTTTAAAGGTATGATTTAAAAAATCGATATTCATGCTTTAATATTTCTAAAAAGAGCAACAGCTGTTCTTTGGAACTAACTGCTTTAATTAGTCAGAATTGTCTTTGGCTAGAAGAACAAGAATTATCTAGGAGAATATACCAAAAAATTGTTCTAAGCACTATAAAATATCTAGAGAGCATTCATATTTACATAAAATAATATTTAGCTTTTTAAAACTTTGTGATATTACTTTCATTTAAAGAACGATTATCTAAAAGTACTTATTATAGCTATGAGATGTATTTATTTTTATATCCTACGTAAAATTTTATTTACCTATTATTTTAATAACGCGGTACGCTTAGAGTAATTTACTGCAAAATATTAAGATCTGTGCGTGCTATGAATATTGCCGTTTTACGTTTCGCTATTTAAATATTATGCAGGAGGAAACGTATAAAACAATATAAAAATTGCGAGCTATAAAGTGAACATTTATATACACACAAGTAAACTAAATTAAGTATGAAATATACAGCTTTATAGTTTTACGCTATTTCCCTTGGGAAAGCTAAGAGGATGAGCGAGAACGTACTCTGTTCTCCACTTTTCAATATCGACAAATTGCTGGATGGTAGTGAACAACGCCGTGTTTTAACTCAAGTAGACTGGTACTAACACCTATATGACGACACGTTTGGCTCAATTTGTAGTGACCCTACATGCTGTGCCGGCGGTCGCAGGTTCGAGACCCGCTGGTCTTTATTTGTGTGATGAGCATGAATGTTTGTACTCCAGTCATGGTTGTTTATATTTATAATATGTATGTATTTAAAGTTATATATGTGTAGTGTATCAACTATCTGGTATCAATAACACAAACCTCGTAGCTTACCATGGAAGTAGATAGAGCTGTGTGTTAATGTCCCAACATATTTATTTATATAATCTATACATTTCAATCGTTAGGGAAATGAACCTACAACCTTCGATACATTAGTGAGTGACACTACAACCATTGTACCTAGCGCAGATATCCTTAGATAGTAAAATATTTTGTTAGTAGAGTGAATCCAACCCTTTTGATGTATTCGCCAAATTGAAACTATTTTAACTTTTGAATTTTTGTTAAAAATAAATTTACCATCCACCGCAATCCGTTTCATCCGTCCGCGGGATTTCAGAGGAAAATTAAAACGGGTTTTCGTTTTTAACTGTCATATCGCTGCCTGAAACTTTAGCAGTGACAGATAAAGAGCGGACTACAAGCAATCTTAATATTATGTAAAGATTTTAAATATGACGAACACATGTATGTTTACAATATATCTACATATAAAGTAATCACAATACTATTTTAAATGCAAAAATTGTGAGTGCGTTGTGTGTTTGTGTCCTTCACGCTAAAACAGCTGAACGGATTGAACTGACAGATAGATAACATGAGTTATATAATAATAAATAGGCTACTATTAGAAAAAAAAATGGCCAAAGATGGCGCTGCCGTGTATAGGTATGTATAAATATTACAAATACAAAAAAGCACTAGAGACGAAACCGAGCGAAGCGAGAGTAAGTCGCTAGTACTTCACATATCTATACTAATATTATAAAGAGGTAAAGTTTGTGACTTGTGAGTTTGTGACGTTGTAGGGGGTAATCTCTGTATCTACTGAACCGATTTAGATGAAATTTGGTAAGAAGATAGAGACTTTTTATCCCGGAAATCATCCCTTAAGGGGGTGAAAATGGGGATGAAAGTTTGTATGGGAAATCAAGCTAAGGACGAACGCGAGCGAAGCGAGGGTGAGTCGCTAGTGTTATACTAAGGTAATCACAATGCTTTTATAGTTTATAATATTTATCTGCATACAAATCAAGTATACAGTAAAAATACTTAAACTCGGAACGTATAAAAATGTTCGAATACTAAACGATTTAAGCGAATATTTTGCGTTACAATAAAAAAATCAATAACACAGTCATTAAAAATATAACTTTCAAAGAATACGCTGCGATCCGCTTTTAACACATTAAACCTCAGATCGTTTCATGTAAATGGGGCCTTAAGGAGGGGTGGTTCCCGACGGAGTGGATCTCTAGGTGTTTAGGTTTATGGAGATTGCGAGCAGGACAAAGGAGGTATATAGCTTAGCCTGGCTTTACATTTCCCATTTACTTTCGTCTTTGATCGAATATGACCATTGTTTTGCAACGAGACAAATACGTTATGAATTCTAAGTACTTATATAAGGAACGTTTATAACCATTTATTATTTTATCTAATCGTGGAATCAAACAATTATCACTTTAAAAATATTCACCTTCAATAATAACATATTACTACGCAAATAATTATATCCTTCAAGAGAGACAATAGTTTAAAACTCCTAAACATATATAATGAATATTCCAATTTTCACACTAATCTTCATACACAAAAAATAAAAAAAAATAGATACGTTTATTTAAAAATAAGTTTTTTTTATTTATATTTATTTATATTATTTATATATTTATATATTATATATTTATATATATTTATTATTAAAAAATAGAACACTATAAAACAGAATGCAATAAGAATCAGATCTTAATACATTTAATATAATCTTGAACCCAATTATTCGCGTCTGTGTAATTTAGCTACAATTGCACGCATCTGCGGACAAACACTGGCACGCTATTTATCCGTGTCTCGTACATAATGCACTACTGTCGTGTATTAAATTACTTGGCGACGTGCTAATGTAATTTAATGCATACGTTTAGGATAAATAATTGCATACAGACTTTATTCTGTACTATTTTATATTGTGAAAAAAATTGTGATAGATTGGCAGAGTGAGTGTGGGTCGCAGGTTCCAAGTCCTGTCAAGCCACTTCAAAGTTTAGATCACCCACCGTAAATATGTTAATATACGTAAATATCTAATAATAATCTATACTAATATATAAAGCTATAGAATTTGTTAGTATTTCTTGTTAGTTTGTTTGAACGATGTCTTGATTTACTGGTCCGATTTAAAAAAAAAACTTTTTTCGTTTTATAGCCTATATTGAGGAAGGTTAGTATTTTACTTCACACTACGACAGCGGAATAACTCTACAAAATTAAAGGGTTAAGCCGCGAGAAAATACTAGTGAGTTATACGTAGAAAAAAATACACAGATATTATGGCGATTTCATTATTATTAAATGGATTTTATATGTAAAAATCTTAAAAAACAGCTAAACTTAACTTTGTGTGCAGTTTGTAATTATATACAGAAAACAAAACAAACACAAAATAGAAACTATTGTAGAAGAACAGTATTACAATCTAGTTATGCAAATAAAAATAATTTTATGCATAACACGAAATCTTACATATGTTTGACCTTTCAAACAACACGACGATGCAAGGCTAAATATGTATATGTTAATAGCAGGGAAGTCATTATTTAATAAAAAAAATATTAATTTGTCGACGACAGAGGAGGATGTGTTAGTCATTTATTTTACCGACAATTATATCAATAGTATAAAATAGCTATAATCTATACGTATAAATAAAATTGAAACTTTGTTTTCTTAAGCATATACATAGACTTATTCACGAGTATATTAAAACAACACTTAAACAACACTTTTCTTAAATATCTGTCTTACTGTTTGTCCGGGGTTATCTTTGGAACGGCTTAACCGATTGCAATAGGAGTTTTACAGAAAGATAGAGGAATTCGTAGGGCTATATGTTTTATTCCGGAAATATTTAGGAATCTACCGCGAAAATCCGAAACCTTAAAAATTACGTAAAATTCGAATTTGTGATTTACTGAAAAAGTCCGCGATAGCATGTGCGTATCTCCAAAGGTACACTCACAATAACTATTTTTATCTATTGAAAACGTACTTAGTCAATAATATAAATGAAGATTGTCTTCATACTGAAATCACCGTGCGCACATACCCAATACCCCCCGCAATATATCCAATCAAATTAAAATACATACATATACTACACTAAACAATTCATAGTGTAAAAGTATAATGAACTAAATATTGCAAAAAATAATGATAAGATTTAACTTAACCATATATCATTATTGCACAGACCATATCTGATAAAACTCGCAGAATTGCACATCCAGTTCAATTACTCATGTACGACGCATCTGATTGGTCAATTTGCCGTTTTCTATTACCGGCTACTTGCTTATTACTACTACGTCGCAGGGGAGACACTACACATGTTCGCTCTTAGAGAGACTAAGAAATGTATATAAATATATAAAAATCAATTCAATTGTCTTGTTAATTCAATGGCTTCAAAACGTAATATTTACACTGTAATTTTATTTTAGGATTAATTTGTTGTTTAATATTATGATTACGCTATGTCTGCTGTATTTACAAAAAAAGCGCGTGTGTGTGCAATTCACATGGTAAAAGTGTTACTTCAGAAAAGTAACCTACGAGAGAATGAGATGAATATAGGGCACCAGGAGTAGGATAATTATAAGGTTTATTTTTTTCTAATATTTTTACTAAGTTTATTAGTTATTTTACATTTTATTTGACATAAATATACATAACATAATATTTAGTAATTAGTTTTATTATTTTTCAAATACGAGTAACAACGGTTACCATGGAAATGTAGAATACATGTCATTCTCTCGCCAGTTTAATCCTATATATTTATGTGTTTGTCTCTTATTAGTGCTGCATTTCCGTCTCATCGTATTTAAAATCACAACGATTCTAAAGAAGTTTCACTTCAAAAGAAGCGCGGAATGTAATAAAAGACAAATGCTTATTCAAAGCAATGCATGCAAACAGTCGGTACCGTTACATCACTTTTTTATTGTTACAAATACTACTATTCTCCGCGAAGCAAGTGCGAATACGA